TCATATCATACACACCACATTTGACATAGTAATCAGCTTGTTGATTGTGGGCAATACTTTGAGGAAGCAGAAGCCCAGAAATGAATTCCTTTTTTTAAAAAAAAATGAGGTTTAAAAAACTGGTTTTTAATCATAGTTTTTTAAATTCGAAGTAAAAAATAATCCAGAAATAAAACTGCAGGCTTCTTGTAAAATCGATTTTTATGTTTTCAACTTCGAAGATTTTCTCGAGCGCTTTCTGTAGAAATAAATGAATAGATATATATTCATGAGATTTTCGTCACTGGTACATACTAGCATGTGATATTTTGTAAACAGAAACAACTGATTGTATGAAATGCCGGTGAAGTTAAAGGATATTTACCAGAAAAGCGCTGATTTAACTTGTTTAATTCAGTGGTTAATTGGATTGAATGTTCTGATTGATTTAAATGGGGAAACATGTAAAAGTTGTGAGACGGGAAAATTTGGATTAAGGAAGGATTCTAGTCATTCCAGTGACGAACATGTTTGGAGATGCTCCAACAAGAAATGTCACAAGAAAGTGTCCGTGAGAGTTGGGAGCTGGTTCGAGAATCAAATTAACTCTGGAAAAAATTCTTTTAATTACTTATTTTTGGGTGTACAAAGTAAGTGAATTACTAGTCGGGCACGAACTTGAAATTGCAATTCAAACCATCGTAGACTGGTACAATTTCTCACTGGACGTTTGCACCTGCGTATTAGAAAAGGAATCTGAGAAAATAGGAGGAGAAGGGAAAGTTGTTGAGATAGATGAGAGCAAATTTGGAAAGAGAAAATTTCATAAAGGACGAAAAGTTGAAGGTGTGTGGGTGTTTGGAGGGGGATCAAAGAAGTGTTTTTTCACGACAGTGACAGATGGCTCGAGAGAAACATTACTCAGCATCATAAAACAAAATATTTTACCAGGAACTACTGTTATATCTGACTGCTGGAAAGCATATGACATTCTCGACTTGGAGAGCACTGAAAAAATCACTGCCAGTGAGCGGGACTGTTAAATCTCTATGACACATATTTTAGCCAGTATTGTATGCGTAAAAATTACTTAAAAGATTCCTCAGATCCTTTCCTTAAATTTCTAGAACTTATGAAGTCCGTGCACAACCCCCAAATTCTCATCCCTCAACTTACTTCCAACAAATCTAAACCTACATCGCCTAAGAATCAACGACATGTGCTACGACCTATTCTATCTCCAAATAATAATAACAGCATTGATGATTTTGATATTTAAGGTAACTAGTGTTTTTAAGTTTTTGATACCGGCATTTCATTATTACCTAATCACTCGATCGAATGTGTTTTGTTGAAGCGAGGAGAAAATGGCGGTTTGTTTACATTGTGCATAGCAACGGCAAGAGATTCTGGAAAGTTCCCGAATAAATTAAGTGTATGTCTTAAAAAGTCAATTTGGATTTTGGATTTATTTCGGTAAAAAAATACTCCGTATTTTATCTCTGGATCGGTTTTGTTTTATCTCGGATAAAAATGTACGTCATGTTTGACGTCATCAGCTGTAGACCTATTTGGAAGTTGAAAAACACGAATAATGTCTCTGCAAAAAGTAAGTGTTTTCGATTACGGTAGTCTCTGTTGTTAAATTTATTTCATTAATTTGTGATCTTTCTGTACAATCGAATGACGCCTTACTCAGTTTCTCATGCAATTACTGTTACTTTTGTAACTGTGTCGTACGCTGTGGTGTGACCGATCTGTGCGATTGTGAATGTTTTTATCAAAATCAGCATTGCTAATTTTTTTTTAAGATCTTTTTATTGTTGAATACCTACGTACAACATAGCGAAAATGTGAAAGTAAAAAATCTTGTACGAGTTATCTCGGAATTGAAGTAAAACACATTATGTCCACAACTATCACTAGTATTAGTTCATCAAAGCTGTTTTATTTAATAAAGAGGAAAAATACGATTTCTTTTATTTATATTGTATATTTAGAAGCTGGAACTCGGTGTCATAGAGACTCACAGCTCTGAAATGAATGAATGTCTGACAGTCCTCGAGAACCTAGCTACCTCAATTACAATGCCAGTGAAACTCAAAACAGGTATTAAAAAAACAAACAAAACGAACCAAAGTTTATTGAATTCTATTTCAAACTAGAGAGATGAAATATATGGAGATAACGAACAGTATTCAAGCTCAAAAGTCCATTAAGCAATACAAAATAGGAGCAGAGCAAACACGGACCTCCAAACATCAGAGGTGGGATCAGGTGCCATGGAGGAGTGAGCATCCCCTGCCGACCGGTCACACCCGCCGTGTGCTCCTTGTCATGATCGTCAAATAACGGAAAAATCCGTCGACAACCCAGTGTGTAAATAATGGCCTAACAATTAGTATGAAAAACGTCAGTCAGCATTTAACTCAATGATAAATTGTATTTGCTGACAAGGTCATTGTATCGACCATAGAACTTACGAAATGATGACTTTAAACGAGACAGCTGATATTCTTGTTTCATCAACTTATTTGTTAATAATTTACCTCGTTTTAGAAATTGTACATACGTAGAGGATGCTCTTGCGTATCGAATCAACTGAGAGATATATACCCCGTATGCAGGTGATGAAGGTATGTTGCTGCATAAGTAAGGGAAGTTGACGATTGAAAAGTTAAAGTCATCACGTTTATCATAAAGCTTGGTTGTTAGATTACCATTAACGTCTTTTTCAAGTAAAATATCCAAATATGAAACAGATGTGTCACACTCTGTGGTATCTTTTATCTCAAGTTCACATGGATAGATCGTATCGACATAAGAATGGAAATAGCCATTGTTAATTGACAATACGTCGTCGATATATCTAAATGTTGAGTTGAGGGCCACAGCAAGTGTTTTCTTCTTTTCACGTACAAGATTTTGGACAAATTCTGCTTCATATGAATACAAAAAAAGGTCTGCTAATAACGGGGCGCAATTGGTACCCATGGAAATTCCAATAGATTGTTGGAAGACCTGGTCTCCAAAAACCACATAGATATTGTCAATCAGAAACTCAAGCATCTTTTTAATGTCAACTTCAGAGTACTTGTGTGAACAATCAGAATGTTTTTAAACAAAATAATTTTCCAAATGACCAATGACAAGGTAAGTATATTTACGAGTTCCATTTTTATTGAAAAAGCAGCTGTCAATGATATCAAAAAGCCTGGATTTTAATTTATCGTGGGGAATGTTTGTGTACAAAGTTTAAAAGTCGTAAGTTTTTAAGCTATTGATTTTGGTAAAATCTTGTGATTTCAAATTTTCCAAAAGTTCCTTGGAATTTTTAAGTATCCACATCTGATTTATACCACTTCTCGAATATATTGTTGCACAGTACTCTTGAAGTTTCTCCTTCACCACTGTTAATATCTTAGTGAGGAGTAAAGATAGAGGCTTGGTTGAACATTTACTGGAACCCGCTATGTATCTTTGTTTGTAAGGATTTTTATGAAGTTTCGGAATCCAATATAAATATGGTAATTCAAATTCATTTTGGTTGTTTGGAATATTAAAAATATTCAAAACTGACATATGATTTTAAAGAATATCTTCCTTAAAAAGGGAACTATGAGTATAAGTTGGATTACCACTTGTAGAATTAAATCCAAGTTCCTTTAAAATACATTTAATATAATGAGCCTTACAAACAAAGACAATGTAGTTACCTGCTTTGTCAGCAGGGACCAGTACGTACTGATCATGTAATCTATCTAATTCTTTTTTCACTTCTGGATTATTGAATACAGAAGGATAGATGGTTTTCATATTGCCTCTCAATCTTTTAATGCGCGATTTTAACATACATCTGATACATTTAATCCATTCTGACAAAGTGTCAAGGTCTTCTTTTTCATGTCTGGTCCATCGCCTGGCGTAGTCCTCTACAGAATCCATAATATTTATGAAATTCCGACGCCAGTTGAAGGATCTGGGTTCCCTATATTTAGGACCTTTTAAAATCAGTGATCTAAGGTCCTCATTATTAACTATATTTACGTCACCAGTAATAACGTGTCCAGCAGGACTATAGTTATAGGGCGAAGAAGAACATGAACACGATGGAGGATTATGCTTCAGATATTCGATATCCAGGCCCTGTAAAGTTTTCTTGTAATTAAAAAGTTTGGAAGCAATAGTCGACGTATATTTGTAGGAAATACAAGGTGGGGTCTTTAACTTGAAATATGGTGGAATACAAGACTGAATTTTTGTGATTAAGAATATTACTTATATTAACCGCGTCAATTCCTTTGTTGGCATATTGAAGTTTAAGGAAAAAACGGATTGTTTTAGCTGCATTTTCTTCAGTAAAACGCGGGGGTTTAAAAAGCCTATGATTGGCAATATCCATAATTACAGATCCGAGCCTATATTCTGGTGTCGAGGAATCTTCAAAGGGACGGAGTGAAGTTTGGTGCAAATATGATGTAGACCTAACTGTTGATTTACAAAAGGTAGTACTGAATCAAAAGAGACATCGTGTATTAAACGTTTATTGTAAGACCGATGCCCATGACTACGCTTACGTCTCTGTGTATGGTTAAAAAGTCCCATCACATTTACATTGTTACACTGTGGACTGGAAAGATTTCCAACACTATCGACATTGTCATTACATCCATAGGGAAAGGCTGTCCCTAGCTTTCTTATCCAAAATTCTTCTCGTTGTCTACGGAAAGGTGTACTCAGTGATGAACTGTTTGTGTGGTGGTAAATCTTTTCCAGAATTCTAACTTTCAATGACAAAATAGAATGATCAGGTAAATTAAAATGTTTGTATAAAAGTTGCTGACCCCCATTATTTATCTGAAATCTATGACCTAAAAAAGAGATAAAATTCCATCTTTCCTTTTATTTCTACTAAATTTTAGTTTAAATCGGACTTATATGGAAAATGGTTTTTATATGAATATGTTGTACATGATTGATTTTCATATATATAACTTTATTTTTTTAATTTTTGTAGGTTCAGTATAAAGTCAGCTGACATGAACATAATAAACACGTAACAAAAGAGGGAATTTGATCATCTTAGACGTCGACGATCTTTAAAATACCAGGTAAAGTGCATTAATTACCAAGTGTTCAAATAAACTATAAAATAGGACCCCCTTAAAAGTTTTCGGGGTATACTGGAATCGCAATGTCTGTTTGCCTGTCACATTGTCCAGAGATATATCTGAAACTATAGTTTTTTTTTAAAATAGGTTTTTTCATTTATTTTGACAAATTTTGTTAAATTGTTTCTACCACATGACATGTTCAGATTGATTTTTTTAATCTTTTTTTAAGTAATAGCTTTTTAAGATTTTAGTATTGTCTGGACATAATATTTAAACCAGCAAGGACACTTATTATATTGAGAAATTTTAAGCTGACAGAAATAAAACAGGTTTCTGTTAGGAGGCAGATGGTCTCTACCTATTTTAAAGAAACTCATTTTTTTTAGATCACAAAGGTAAAGGTCAAGGTCAATTTATTCTAGACATAGGAAAATATTGTATGTTCAATTTCTTGAAAACCATTTGTTGACAGAAAAAAATTGGTACACTGGTACCTCAAAAGGAGATGATTCATATTGATTTTAATGTCATAAGGTTAAGGTCAGACATAAAATAAATTCACTCAATGTCTTGAGAAAGAAGTTCAAAAACCCTTTTGCATGACAAACTTCTATTTTAAAATACAAACACTCTCTAATGATAGGCATTTACTTTCTGCTGAATATCTTGAGTACCATTGCTTTGAGACATCAAACTTTGTTTACTTGTACCCCCTGAAAAGGAATTAACCTGTTTATGATACTGAAATAAGATACAGATCAATCTTTTTACCACTAACAAGTAGATCTTTATTAAGTATCTATTAGATACCTTTAGATTGTAATGTGTTGTCTTTGTTTTCAAGTATTCTGTTTTCAGTTAATGGTGATAATACATGCATTTGCCTTTTCTAATACTAACACCCTCTAATGCGTAAATGATTATCAGGGTCAAAGGTCAAAGTCCTCTGAACATAGGCATTTAATTTCTGCTGAATATCTTGAGTACCATTGTTTTGAGACATCAAACTTTGTTTACTTGTACCCCCTGAAAAGGAATTAACCCGTTTATGATACTGAAATAAGATACAGATCAATCTTTTTACCACTAACAAGTACATCTTTTTTAAGTATCTTTTAGATAATTTAGGTTGTAATGTGTTGTCTTTGTTTTCAAGTATTCTGTTTTCAATTAATGGTGATAATACATGCATTTGCCTTTTCTTTTTCAGGTTGGGAAAAGAAAGAAGATTTGTAGCATTATATTGAAGATGCCTGATTAAAAGCATTAATATTTTGAATGGTGTTTTCTCTTTTATTCAGAAAGTTTGAAACTGGAGGCAATGCTCAGAATTTTAAGGTAATAAATCTGAAGATTTTGTTGAAAGAGCTAATGGTGCCCAATGATATCCATTTGGTTATATTCAAATTGGAAAAAAGATTTACACCTGGGATGAAGTCAACATGCAAGGATAGCTTTCTACAGTGCTTGAAGGAAAAGTGCAAAATTGTTAAGTGAGCTTCTGAGGTAGCTCTAGAGGAACAATGATGAGAACATGTAGTTAATCATTTTAGGTACCGCTATGGAGCAATTACATGTACTTTTCTGGAAGAACAGTCAGGAAAACTCCAAATGAATGAACATGGTTTTTACGCATTTTAATGTTAAATAAGTGTGAACTAATTAACGTTGATTTAACACTTTATGTTAATTTAACATAAAAATAACATTAAATTAACATTAAATTTTGAACGTTAAATTCATGAATAAGCTCGATTGACGTTAATTTAACGTTAAATATTTAACGTTAAATTTATGTTATTTTAATGTTAAATTAACGTTAGGCACAAGTGGCTGTGTAACCATTTCAGCTCTTGAGATCCTATATACTCCCACACATTTAAAACTGTTAACCCGATGGCATGTCCCCCTCTTGGTCAAAATGCGTCCTCTAATTCAATAAGATGAAGAAATGTTGTAGGCATGTTACTAGGGAAAAGTGGGTTTTATGCGTTTGGTGCCAAACATCACAGGTGGTAAAAGATTAAGTCAGAGCATCCTGTGCCAGCGCTCTAACCACTGAACTTCTACATAAGATCCCATATAGTGAAAGAATCACTGTACTCACGCATCTGTTAAACATATAACAATACAATCCTTTTCAATTAATCAGGAAAATTAAAAATTGCAGAATCACAAATACTTTGAATGGCACAAGATTTATGTTCATTTAACCTTTACCAGATGGTAAAAAATTACCAAGAATAAATTATTGCGTGGATGTCCAATGTTAAATATTTCATTCTGGACAACCTAAGAAAACAGGAAATCTGGTTTGTATCAATTGCTGGGGCACTAACCACAATCGTTCGCTACGCAGCATCAAACCTAAGACGTAAACATAGGTAGTGGCTGGTCCTTCGCCACGTGCCCGGCGCTAGAAATGAAATTCATGGATCTTTCGGATGAGACCTTCAAAACCGAGGTCCCGTTTCACGTTAGGCGTTGGCACGATAAAGAATCCTCACTGCTTAATGGCACTGTCAGTGCCGAGTAAAGGTCTAAATTTGAAGGCCTTTCCCCTGCAGATACGTCTTTATATGAGTGAAAAATTCTCGATTGGGACGTTACACAACACAAATTTAATCAATTGATATTCTCTAATTAAATGGTGGTGGGATTTTACTCTTGAGAAGGGTACGTCTATCAAACTGATTATATTGGTTGTTACATGAAAATTTAATAATAATTTACAAAATTGTAATACTAGGCTTTGTTCTATTTTAAAAAAAAGATTCTTAAACTCTAGTTTTTTTTTTACCTCATCAAATTTAAATTACACTAGACAGACCAGACGTGTTCCTGATATCACTTCATATTAATTCGTTTGGCATTTAAAACGTTGCATTATCTTACATTTTAGACGTATTTGGTAAAACTTGTAATTTATATTCAAAATTTTGTAATTCATATTGGAAATTTGTTATTCATATTCTAAAACTGGAGATTCATATTCTAAATCTTGTGATATCTGTATATATAACATATTCGTAACATTGTGATTTATCTTTGATTTAATATAAATTATAAGGTTTTGCATATAAATCTCATGGCTATTGAATGTACCTATCACGTGTAAGTCACCAGACTATCGAAAGGAATTAGGCTTTTTAAACATAAATAACGTTTTTGAGTAAGAGTATCAACTCTTCGAATATAAAATACAAGTTAACGAATATGAAATACAACTATGAAATAAAAATCAAAAGAGTAATATGTTTGAGAATATGAATAACACTGAACTTGCTGATTAACTACGCAAATCTTTATCTCTTGACCTAGCTTTAACAATTTAACGTTTTTCTTTTAAATGGACATAACAAAATCCTCTATTTTAGCCACAGAAAAAAAACGCCACAGGAGTCCAGAGGAAACATTTCATGGCTTTTAGTTGTCCTTGATATAAGTGTTTTCCTTTAAAATATTCAACAAGAGAGAAAACAAGGGAAATGGACGCCTTTAAGTTTATTGCAGACGAACAGACTTCATCTGTGCTACAATCACAATATCGTAGTTTGTTAAAGACATTTTATGGCGATTGGATGCAATAACACAAATTATTAACAGAAAATTTGGGACAAGAAATACTTTGCACCTGTTTGGTTCTAAGAAGGTTTACAAGAGAGTAAAGAAAAAAGAATTTTGTCCGTTTGGATAGTTTGAAATTTATAAAAAGATTTTTTTGAAAAAGGAAAACAATGCTGAAGTAGCGATGAAATGACGTAGCAGAAAAATCGTTGAGTGTTCCAGGTCAATGGGCACATACAAGTTTATCAGCTCACCGGGCTTTATCAAACGCTTCTACAGATTAGAGATGTTGCATATATGAATAATTTCATCTTGATAGCATTTTGCTTCATTTTCATGAATTGAAATATCTCTTCTACGTAGTTAGAATGAATTTATCAGCAATTTCCGATTAGTCGGATTGCTACATATAACAATGGCAGATATCACACAAAGGACCTGAAAAATACAAAATATGTATCAAAATCAGTAAGTCAAACACTATCACGAAGTATATGCAATTTTAAAGTATCCCGGAGAAAATTATGAAAATCATGAACGAAAGTTATCCATATCGTAGACAAATACGTTTTTGTCATACTAAATGGAGAGTATGACACATCTGTTCCATATTTGGATATTTTACTTGAAAAAGACGTTAATGGTAATCTAACAACAAAGCTTTATGATAAACGTGATGACTTTAACTTTTCAATCGTCAACTTCCCTTACTTATGCTGCAATATACCTTCATCACCTGCATACGGGGTATATATCTCTCAGTTGATTCGATACGCAAGAGCATGTTCTACGTATGTACAATTTCTAAAACGAGGTAAATTATTAACAAACTACTTGGTGAAACAAGAATATCAGCTGTCTCGTTTAAAGTCATCATTTCGTAAGTTCTATGGTCAATACGATGACCTTGTCAGCAAATACAATTTATCATTAAGTCAAATGCTGACTGACGTTTTTCATACTAATTGTTAGGCCATTATTTAAACACTGAATTGTCGACGGATTTTCCGTTATTTCTCGATCATGACAAGGAGCACACGGTGGGTGTGACCGGTGGGCAGGGGATGCTCACTCTTCCATGGCACCTGATCCCACCTCTGATGTTTGGAGGTCCGTGTTAGCTCTGCTCCTATTTTGTATTGTTTAATGGACTTTTGAGCTTGAATACTGTTCGTTATCTCCATATATTTCATGGACATATATATACTTGTTGTAAACTAAAATATCTGTTATGAAAATCCACGTCAAATGGTTTGGTATGGTTGATGTAACTTTAAATGTCGCAGAAAATGCGCACGACTCAGATCTATAATGAAATATTGAGATAACGAACAGTATGCAAGCTCAAAGTCCATTTAAACAATACAAATCGGAAGCAGAGCAAATACGGACCTCCAAAAACAGCAGAGGTAGGATCAGGTGGCAAGGTAAAGTGAGCATACCCTGTCTATCGGTTGTTATAATCGGGAAAAAAGGAAAAATCCGTAGACAATTCAGTGTGTATATAATGGCCTAACAATTAGTATGAAAAACGTCATATCAGTCAGCATTTGACTCAATGATAGTTGTATTAGCTGACAAGGTATCGACCATAAAACTTACGAAATGATGACTTCAAACGAGACTGTTCATATCCTTGTTTCATCAACTTGTTTGTCAATAGCTTGCCTCGTTTTAGAAATTGGTCATACGTAGTGCATACTCTTGCGTATCGAATCAAATAGGAGACATAAACGCCATATGCAGGTGATAAGTGTATATTGCTACATAAGTAAGGCAAGTTGACGATTGAAAAAACGAAAGTCATTACGTTTCTCATAAAGCGTTGTTGCTAGGTTACCATTAAAGTCTTTTTCTAGTAAAATATTCAAATATGAAACAGATGTGTCAGACTGTGTGGTAACTTTTATTTCAAGATCACTGGGATATATCGAGTTGACATATAAATGGAGGTAACTATTGCTAGTTTATATTACGTTGTCGATATATTTAATTGTCGAGTTGAAGGCCAGAGCAAGTGTCTTCTTCTTCTCATGTATAAGTTTTTGAATAATTTCTGCTTCATATGAATACAAAATAGGTCTGCTAATATTTTTCAACATTGTGTACAATTTGATAGATCCTACAAGAAATAGAAAAACTACTCTTATTTTATAAATATAAGGTATCCGTATTCATTACGTTGTTATAAATCTAGCGTAACAACGGATTGGATTGTACAGCCTGTATATACAAAGTTTTTATACTGATGACGCTCGTTAATTATCGCATACTGTTTTGAATCTTAAAAATTTACTCAGTTATGGCCTTTTATAAATATTATCACACCCACTTGGCAGTGTGGCATAATAATAATTAAAAAACTAGTTGACTAAATGTTCAAAGAAGAATTAGAGGTCTTTCTTCCTTATTTAAATTTATTTCATATTTTATATTTAACTCTCTACAGAAAATTTTCAGAAAAAAATAAACCAGAAATAGCTCAAAGATTAAAAAATGAAAATTGTAAAGAAAACAAAGTCACTTTGATCTTTGTTTTTCAAGGGCAAGGGCTACATTGCCATTTGTCCCATGCCTCTATGAATAATGATTAAAAAAATTCATTATACGAAAATAACAAAACTTTTCAGGGGCAAAATATCATTTAAGAAGCCGAAGAATCATTTTACAATGAATAGATTGAAGACTCCTCTTAAGTAGTCAAAGACATTAGTGAAGGTTTAAATTTGGTTTTGGTTTCTCTACGGTTTACGGATTTGGAGGAGAAGGGATAAAAAAGTTTTTTCGAAATTGGCAGTGAATTTAAAAAAAAAAGGTCGGGCTTAGTGGACAACAACAGGACAAATCAAACACTTGACGAACAGTATATGTTGAAAAACAAAAGAGGTAAGAGGTAAAAGGAGAAAAATCTCTCTCATTCTGAATGACCTTGAACTTTATCTTGACCTTAATTTTAATTTTATGGACGTCATGGCAGTTTATACCATATCTTTACGATTAATCATATTAAAATAATTATTTGTAATGAATAAAAACTTTCACGAGCAATAACTTATTAATTAGTCGATGATTTTTTTTTTTTTTTTTTTTTTTTTTTTTTTTGCAGAAAGAGATTGAACAATTTTCCCAATCGAAGACATTGGTGAAGGTTTGATTTCTCGACGGTTTACGGTTTTGGAGCAGTAGCGAAAGTAATGTTTATCATGCATGGGGCAATAGCTTCGAAAGGGTCATAGGTCATAAACCTGGCCACATGTTTTGTTTTGTATTTTTTTTTCCAAAATAATTTGAGTAGTCAATTATCATTAACTGTAATTTTTTGATGAGTATTTCTCAGTTCAAAAGCAGTAACTGAATAACAATAAGAAGAAAAAGAAGAAGAAGCATTTTAAAAGTATCTCCACAGAAAGGTGGAAAGACTTAAATAGCGTGTTTCCAAGAACATGTGATAAATATTCAAAATCCATATTATTGACGTTATCATGAAACAAGCTTAATGTCAGACTGGGCCGTGTGGTTTGCTTATACAATCTATTTACGCCTATAACTTTTGTAAAATAGTGTGTATTGTTTTGATCTTTGTATATTTACTAAACCAATGTCTATACTAAATGAATATCGTACACATTTGCCAGTTTGATTATTATCAAGAAAATTATAGCGTTTGTCTACGAACGTTATGGACGACCTTCGTATACATATTTGATAATCAAATGCTACTTTTTGCAAAATAGCCACAAAAAGATTAATTAATGGTGTGAAAGATATTCAGAAAAATTCTATTTTTTTCGTATTGATGAACTTATTTGAGTATTCCTTTGATACTTCATTACCTCAGCAAGGATAATAGTGATTCCAACTCCAAGAATACTAGGAGCTTTAGACGTTATATTTTGCTCCAACAAGTCGTTTATAGACTCATAACATCCCTGTGAGAAAGAATATGATTAAGAAATAATTATATAGATAAGACGGGCTAAGGAAAATATTTACACATTGGAGCAAAAACTGTTATCGAGTATAGTATCATGTGCTGGGAATTATATAAAACCCAAAAGGCTAAAAAAAAAATAATTATAAGACTGTTTCCTTTATATGTACATTTAAAACTGTTAAAATTATTTTCTATGCCACTATTGAGTCAGACATCTGATTTTTAGGAGATACAGGAGAATAAGCTTTAAATACATAAACATTGAAACTCGGTTATAAAGAAGTCACAGGACCTCCAATTTCGCTTCTTTATAACCTAAATTCTTTATATCCGTTTAAAGAATATAGTGAAAAGTTGCACGGGATTTTTAAAAGGTCCCTTATAACCAAGATTTTCCTGTAAAAGAGTTCTTTATAACCAAGTTTTACTTAACTGTAGGTAGATTTTCTTTAAAATGGTACTTGATGAGAATATTACCTTTGTGTTATACGTTCCAGAATTTAAATTGTAGAAACATGATATCGGGGCTGAAGTATAATTAGTTTCAGTGACTCCCACACAGCACGCCTTAGGAATCTCGGCATTTGTAAGCTGACATTCCCCACTAGTGGTGCACCAAGGGGTATTGTCAAAATCATTTGTAGTTGATGCCACATTATTAACGGCACAACAGTCCAACTACAAACATTCAAACAAAAATAGAGTTGTGATTAAATCAGTAAATGTGTTTATTAAAAAAAAGTCTTTATTCATAGATTTCTTAACAGTCGGCTTACATGTAAGTGTTAATTGACCATGCTACTGAATCTATTTTTAGCGTAATGTTATTGCAAAGTTATGTAAGTATTTATTTGTTGAAGTCACTTTTTTTCATTAGCGTCCTATTCCAAATTCATAAAATCTCTCCTCTCATTCTTATTAAAACGTTCGACAAATAACAAAAAACAAATAAAATTTCAGTTGTTCAAGTAGATTACCATTGTAGAATGAATATGTACATGTATACTTTTTCAAAACATTAAAAGACAGAAATAGACTGATTTTAGCTACTATAATTATTGAAAGAATCTAAAACGTGTGTTTATTTTTGGTTGTTTGCCATCACTTGACGTGGAGGACTACAAATTAAGACCTATACTCGGCACTTACGGCCTTTGAGCAGTGAGGGATCTTTTTCGTTCCAGCACCTACTTCGACAAGGGACCTCAGTTTATACGGTCTCATACGAAGGACCGGTCACCACGTCACAAAGTGGATTCGAATCTCCGATGTAAGGATCACCTCTATAGCAAAGGCTCTAACCACTGCGCAACGCGGTCGATTTCAAATTGTTTTAATCTATGTTACGTTGAAACTGTGGAAGAAATGTAAATATAAAATATACATACTGATATAAATATCCTGTTCCAACCATTTGAGAAGTCGTTTCCACCGCTTATTGAATCACTCACAAAGTTTTTATGGAGAGAATCAACCAATTTATCTCGGAGGTTTGCCTCAATCTGTAAAAATTAGAGTTCCAAATAATTCAGTCAAATTTCTGTAAAGTTCAGTGTCTTTTTAAAAAATGATTTCAAATAGTTTTATCGGGACCCCTAACCCACACTATGTACAGCTTTAATTTCCTTAGGTTTGAATTTTAAACTAATGATTTAAAAGAAAAACTTAAAATATCAGGAACATTACAATGTATAATGCATTTTTAGGTATTTGCGTGTCCGAAGGCTACAAAATTTTGAGCCCTTTACCCAACACCTCTCCCCCCAAATTTATCTGCTTTAATTTTAGTTTTAATCAGACTTCGATCTTTTGATCTGGCCCCTTAATAAATTCGATATAATTTTCCGCAGAAAAGTGGAGATTTTTGGCATGTTTTATATTTTCCTCAAGAAAACACTTTTGACTTCAATTTAATGGTATTCTATTATTATATGCATCGTTGAAGTTACAGAGTCATACGAGGATTTTTTTTTTCCTATATCTGCGTTAATCATTAGAAATCTTTTATGAGTTTATATGTCTTTAATGCGACAATCTTTTTTTAAAAATAATACTCCTAATTAATTATTGACTTACATCATTCTTCATTCTAAACCACAGGGAAATAGCCACTATCTTTATCACAAATAACACCAATACTGAAACTGCATACTGTAATATAAGAATTAAACCATGCTTCAATTATGTAGATCTCAAAACTGCATTTTGTAAGGTTAGCAAATAGTTCAGGCTTTAATATAATTTATTATGATTATTAAACAATATATACAATATGATTATAATACCAACTTTCTTAATGTAATGTATGTACCAGTAAGATAATGAATAAAGCGCAACATCAAAACTGCGTTCTGTAGTTAAAAAACGTCCACGGCAAAGTTGATACATGGATTCAGAATGTGATAATAAATAGTTTATTGTTCTTCAAAAAAGATGAAAAAAAAACTTTTTAACATGGAATTTGCAAAGGATAGAAAAATGCTTGTTTTAATTTTAAAAAATATTCATTACGATGCCTATGGTTTTATGATCATAAGAGAATCTTCAAGTTACCATTCAAACTCGTAAAAAGTAGGATTTACAGTTCTATTGCCCTGAAAAGATTCTTTTTTACTTATTTATCAATCTTGATAAAACCTGTAGATAGAGTGATGTCAAATATGTTAAGAGAAATCATATATAATAAGATCGTCTAATCTTTGTTGTCTTGATGAAAGGATGTGAATTTGATAGCTTAATAAAAATATCCTGATTTATTAGACATACAAATATTTGTGCGGTTTAATACATGTAATTGGCAGACTTTTTCTATGTCTTTAGTCCCTCCTTAAAGACACGAGAACCCTTCGTAAACTTTAAATCCCAAATTTTATTCTTTATCACGAAAGGCATTAGGGATTGGCAGAAATTATTTATGGTTTAAGTGCTTTTTGAAAAGTACATTTTTTAAACGTAATATCAACACAAGACAACACAGAACTAAGCGAATCAAAATGGTATCTGTTACATACATGTATTGAATATATTTTTTTAATTTTGTTAGTGTTACTCACAAGCACAAGCAATACTTTAGTTTGCTTGCAATCGCCACATAATCGGAGATCAAATACCAATAAAATGAAGACTCCTACGAACACTCCAGATACCAATGAAATGAATACTCCAACGACGATAAATAAAGTTGACAAGTTGTCCGCAAGGTTTCCTAAGTCAGAATCTCCTGATTTCACACTGTTAAGGACTGTTTTTGTTTCATCTTTTATTGACGACACATCAGATTTCATCATGGCGCCGATTATTAAAACACCGAATGCAAGCGTCTGAAAAGTACATATTTTGATAAACTATTCAACACATACAAGTATTATTCCAAAAATTTACCTTTGCTCATTTTCAAACCTTAAGTGATTTATATTCTATTTGAATCGCCAAAATCCTTTTTCATGAAGATAATTTTTTTTTCCATTAAGGCTTGATAACGTTAAATCCATTAAGCATTTCAAGGAAATGTATTATTTCATACAAATGCAGATAAATTCTTCATACTTAGTAACATATAATATATTTTCAAAAATGATGGGAAAAAGCTAAGCTGTGAAAATGATACCATGCAGACCATAGGAAGAAATTTCAGTTTGGGGGAGGAGTTCATTACCTAACCAAAAAAATCTTGACAAGCAAGAAAAGAATTTGTAGGATAGTTTTTAAGGATTTTATCTGTAAATTTGCCAGTGTAAACTGAAAAAATTATTGAGGGGCCACAACTGTAAATCTGCTTGTAATCTATAGTTTCTATAGTTAAATATATATTGAGGAAATAATTGGGGCCAGTCCCCTCCATGTTCCTACTGGCCTGTCATGAACCATCTTTGTTCATACTTACAAAAAGCACAACATTGATTGATATAAGGAAAGGTATGACGACGTTCCGTCCACATTCAAGAGCCATATCTATATTCTGATTTCAAAAAAATACAAAGATTTATTATTAAATGTACGTATAATTCTAAAGAGCAATCGTCTTTATAATTATTATATATGTTATATATGCTTTTCTAAATTAGTAATTGTTTATTTCACGCGATCAAACTAGATAATGATCTGTTGTTATCCTTTAGCCAAACATATTGGTTACCATCCTTAGCCCTCTCTTATGATTTATAGAGAGAGTTTCTGGGAGACCAAAAAAGGTTTGCCATACATGCATACTATGCATTATGAAGCCTGTCACAAAGAGGCTGACCTCGAGTCTATATAGAGCATAAACATAGTTATACTGAATGCCTGCATTAGTTGAACGCTATTTTTTCTTTATTTTCCTAGTAAGCCTTTTATATCCTGTTGAGTCCAAATCCTCGGTACAATGGTATGATTTGAATCAACCAGAATTTTTAGGTCATGCTGATGCTTCGTATAATTTTTACTAACTGTTGCACTGTTGTTTTAAAGAATACTTTTATATAGGAAGTTTGCCCACCTCTTGTAATTCCGAACTAATCCTGGGACAACATTAATATAGATTTACTTGATGCAACATATACAAATATAGCCCCTAGACCATCAATGAAAAAAAATAAATCTACACTGCATACTCTACATGGGCTTGATTGCAATTTGAAATTTCTCATTTTGGTCTTCTTTGTCTTAAAAGTTATACTTTTAAAAATCTTTTTTCGAAATATATCTCTGAACAAAAAGAATTGTCTATTACGTACTTTCCCAACCTAGCAACAATGGTCATTATTTGAACAAAGTTGAATAGGCAAATAATAAGAACGTTTGCGTGACATACCTTGTTGTGGGCCTGTAGTTCTTGAGATCTTTAAAAATAATTTCTGCTACTATATTTTGGTCTTTGACTCTCTACTTTGGCCTCACCATAGAAAACTTTAACATACGTTTTTTTTAAGTTGATCTTGAAGACATTTTTATAGAGGTTTGGCCCTTTATTTGAATGAATTTGTATCATACATGTACAATTTCATATCTTATTTATTTTTAATGAATATATTCAGACCTTTAAATGTATTTTCAGCAATGAACGATTGAACGCGACGTTAAGCAATCGATATTTTTTTTTAATTTTTTTTTTTTGCCAGAAGGAGTATTTACATTCAAATTTCTATTTGTTTTTTGTTATCTTTAATTTTTATATATTTTGTCCTTTAAATCAAATCATTAAGATGCATATGATGAATATTATGATTTCTGTGTATAAACATCAAAAACCAAAGAACAGTTTGGAATTGAATTTAAATTCTTAAGTACAAAGTTTATTTATAATCTTTAACTACAATCTTCATCCCATTCACCCATTTCATCTATAAAACTTCCTACAACATCGAGGCTTCATATGTTGATCTGGAGATAGCAATTATAAGATGTTGATTATTGAGGATTCTCGTGACGGGTATTCTTCGTGACCCCGACACGATCATAGTCATAAATTTAATATTAGTATAAAAAATCAGTTTCATGAAGTTGCATAAAGATGAAGCCATAAAGATGAAGAAAACATAAGATGAAGCCATATTTAACTATTATGCTCTTATGATTGGAACCTGTCAGTGTCAATTTAAATTATCCGCAGACAAAGCATGTTTCATACATGTACCCTTTTAGTGCAGAAGATGATGTTTTATCTCTGATGACCCAAGGAATACAGGTGTTAAACGTTGAAAATATGCAATTTTAAGTATACATAGAAAACACATTTAATCAATATCATCGAGAATAATATCGTTATGATATTATGTATCAAGAATATTTTTACCAAATGAATATCAACGAAGGTAATCCTTCATCAACATCTTAGCAAAAGTTCAACCATTGGACTAGTACTAAACAAAGCATCGTACCACTCACAAAGGCTAGAAATGAAAAGAAAGCATAATTTAAGTGTAAATAGACCATTATTATCCCTCTTTTGATATTCTAAAACAACGTACTTCACTTAAAATTCATCCTTATATGCCTTTACCTGTTAAATAATCTGAAATGCTAAAAATTCATTCTAGTTCATACATCGTTTCATTTTAACAGCAGACTTACGTTTATAAACAGCAATAAAACGCCCTGCTCAGTACATTTGTACAAACCTGCACTCGTGAATGACGTAACATCCTGGTTTTCCCACAATTGTTTTCGTCACCTAGGCTTAGCTAAAATAAACAAACAAACGTGAAAATATAAGAGGAAAATTAAAAAGACATTTACAAGGACTCGATTTTGAATTAGACAAATGCTTTTACGGTGTTATTTTTAAAATTTGCTATCGATCTGTATACTGCAATATAGCATTCATGGATGCATAATCAATATTCTGCACTGTTGAATCGAGTCAATGAGAAAACATTATTTCAAATACCTCCAAAACGAAAGTCATGCAATACGCAATGAGTTTTAAAGTTCCCATGTGTTATATGATATAGGCATTGAATGCAATTGAAAATAAAGATACTATTATTTACTTGTGTATCGAATGAAAAAGGTGAACATAACAAACCGTGATCGATATCAAAAATCTTTTATGCAATAAATGGTGAGCAGGGCTTAAAACATGAACCCCTGAAAACTTCAGCGGTTGGGTTAGGTGACTACAAGGAGGAAGTATTCCCTGTTCCCTGTTGACCGGACATACCCGCCCTGAGCGCTATATATTGATCAGGTAGACGGAATAATCCGGAGTAAAAAGGTTCACTTTATGCATAAAATGGCCCTGTAGATATACCAATTTATTGACTAACACATTGTGTACCATTTTCAACATAAATATAAAGTAGAGACTTAGTGCTTTCAGTTTATATAACAGAATTTCCTTTGAAGAGTCCAGGCATTGAAAAACAAGTTGTGTGAAATCGCATTGTTATTGAATTTTGCAGAAAACAGGTGTTTTTGAGAACCTTCAGCAAAAAATTAAAATATGAGCACACCCCTCGATCCAAAAATTAAAATGTATTTTATAATCTTCATTAAGGTCAAGATCTAGTAAATAAAAGGAGCCTACAGATTTCTCAAATTTGTGAAATAAATTCCTTTAATGAAGCTTTATAAATATAGCTTAGTCAAATAAGGTGTTTCGGGGCATAATTTGTAGGCAAACAAGACGAAAAATCATATATTAAACTGTCATTTTTATTGAAAAATTAGGAAAATCAGTCATGAATATGGGAGTTTTTTCCATATCAGACAAATTAAATGTATCCAGATTGCCTACAGTCTCTCAGAAAACGGTAATTTGTATGTTCTTGGTCTCTTCTTTAAAATAATATTAAACTGAATATAGGTTTCGGGATTACTTTTCACATGATTTCAAATTGAATTCCAGGAAAATACTTTATTTTCTATATAATTTCATTACAGCCGTAAAGTACGGGAAAAAAGAAAGTTTAATTTGATTATGACGTGATAATGGATCTAGCATCAAAAATGCAGTCTAAAATTATTTACTAGATCTTGACCTTAACAGTTCTTTTATAATATATTTACACATTTTGGATCGGAGGTTGTGCTGTATACGAAATTTTAAACAAATTGCATCATATTTTGGCCATTTTTGAAGAAATATTCAGGATATGTGAATAGTGACGCAATTCATGACGTCATAATGCATTAACTAGAAAGGAAATTACGTCATTTTCAGTAGATATTCATTCAGCAAGTGTTCAAGTATTATTTATTGCCTTGTCGACTAAAACTATACAGTTTTAAATTTTCAGAAATTCACAGGGCCAAAAAAGGCCCTATGTGGCTCTTGCTCTTTAGCATTGTATATAGCTTAACATTTTTATGAAACATGTCAGTGAAAATACGAGCCACTAATGGGTTGTATTTGTAAACAAGGTATTTAATACGAAGATTGATTTTCTCAATGCCGACTATAAAGTAAGTTGTTCAAATACCAGAAACTTTTCATGCATAAAGCTGGTTTAATTGGCTCAACTAGGAAAAGTAGTCCAGATAAATATTTTCATACGCAAAAGGGCTGAAGAATTAGTGTGCCATGCTAAAGAATATGAGGAAATTTGGAGAAATTCTATATAGCGAAAGAACCTTTTTGGTAAAATTATGGACATGTAGACAGGTCGACAGGTCGACGGGTTGACGGGATTTTTGGTTTTCAGGTCAACAGGTAGACGAGTTGACAGGCCGAAAGTTTGACAGGTCTACATGTATTAAGGAAGACAGGTCGACGGGTTGACTGGTCGACAGGTTGATAGAATTTTTGCTTGACAGGTCTAAATGTATTCAGGAAGAAAGATCGACGGGTTGACAGGTCGACAGGTCCACAGATTGACGAGCTGACAGGTCAACAGGTTGACGAGCAGAAAGGTCCACAGATATATGAATCGACGGGTCGACAGGTTGACAGATTATTATCTCCAGTGGGTTTGAGAACTAACCCTAATCTTTCCGGTTGGTTAGAGTACTAACCATAATTTCTCAGATGGGTTCGAGGACTAACTCTAATCTTTCCGATGGGTTCAAAGACTAAACCTTAACTCTCGGGAGTGTACGAGAATTAACCCTAATCTCTCAGGTGTGTTCGAGGACAAACCTTTATCTCGGGTGGGATCGATTAATCTAGTGGTTGTACTAGATTAACCCTAATGTCCTGTGTTTGTTCGAGCAAAACAGAGCTTATTAATCCGAGAGGATGTTATGAGGGTAAAAGGAATACCGAGAGGTAGTCAACTTTCGACCTGTCAACTTTTTGTTTTGAGCTATAAAGGAAACCGAATGGGTATCAACTGTTGACCTGTCGACCTTTTTCTTTAAGTGAAAATAGTATCCCATTTGGGTGTCAACTGTCGACCTTTGTTGTGATGGATAAGATAAAGCATTTGATCGTCGACCTGCGACCTTTTTTTTTAGAGATGACAGATTAACAATAAGGTGTCAACTGTCTACCTTTGGGATGATAATACAGATTAAGTGTCAAATTGTCAATCACTCAGGGGGAAAACCCTTCTTGTGGACTATTATTTTACATGGACTATTTAACGTAATATGGCAAAACACTCACTTTTTTGTTTTATAAAGGGAACTATTTCTTTCTTTATTTTAAAGGACAAGGTTCATTTGATATAATATTTGACCCTGAGAATTTCTAAAAATTAAAGTTTACGCTGAATCAAAACTTTACATTGAAAATTAAGGTTGGATATATGTTTGTTAAAAAAATAAATCCAAACTTTGAGAATGTGTCGCCTGTATACTGTTTATTCTTGGTCAAATCTTGCACGGAATGCGTATTTCCGGAAAAATCGTTAAAAATCAGAGACTTAAAAGCATTTTTCGATAGGTCCGCGTTATATCACCACTTTGAAATTTTCACAAATGAAACATCGATTTGAAAGCATTTTATATGCAAAAAATTACGATGGTGATATTGTGCGGACCATGTTTATTTTTAAAAGATGTGTCCATTTTACAGCATGCATTCGACGGTGTTTTGCTAGATCTAAATATTATTGAGAATATACCTCGCCACATATCGCTAAAATTCTTTAATGTAAAGGATAAAATTATCACATCAATGTTATGAAGATCTGCTCTGTACTAATTCTTTACACGTTGCTTGAATTCAGATTCAGATGTACACTGGTCTCTATATTAGTATAACGTTATAAATCTAGCATCTTACTTCCGCGCCCACTAACTAATAAGCGAGAGTTGTCCGAATTAGACGATATATGGACGTTAGGTGGTTGAAAAAAGTAGCAGTTCAGAAAAAAATTTCAGTATTTACAATTGTCATATAATTATTATTTTACATTTAGTTTATTTATAACCCAGTGCCTGTGTCCATAATCATGTCAAGCTGAACATTATAAAACAATCTATACGTCATTTTTGAAAATTGACGTCACAATGGTTTCGCCGATCTACATGGCCTGTTGGGAAAATGTACATGGACAGACTTTTTTGAGCTATTATAGTGAAAATTAGAGGCTAGGTTTCCAAGATAGAATACAAACCTGGCAAAATATCACAATAGATTTAACAATGCGCCTCTCAGTATAAAATATGTGCTATGTAGATCAGTTCCAAACATAATCTAGATTGTCATATATATTTTATCGATGACTTCAGCTACCTCTTTTGAAGAGTTCCATAAAAATTATCCGTAAAGTCATTATACATCACATAAAAGTATTTTTCACATCATTTTTCGAGCTGGTCAAAAAGGGGTAATATGTAGCATTTTATGTACACTTAATAGCGATTACATAAAGGTTGGATGTAATATTTACATAATGTAAAAAAAAAGGAAATAATAAACTTGGGGGGTATAAATTACTACATTAGTGATAACATCGGAAGGGAGGGGGTCGTGTCCAAATGCTCCTCTTATATTTACATTCTTAATATCACTATAGATCGACAGACCTACATGTATAATTGTATATAGAAACATTATATAGAAGTAACGAATGACAGAGGATAAAAGTGTTTTCTCTTGATTATCAAGAATCACATCGTTTGCTTGTTCTCCTTCTGTATTAATATCCAAAAAGCATTGCCTATCTGCGAGCACATGCAAAACTTAAATTCTGACTTGTTTGCTAAAACAGATATTAATCTTTGCTAAGAAATGATAAGTATATATCCACTGATATCTGGGCATAAGTGAAATATTTTCGAACGGGACTCGAAAATGTAATGCAGTGATCGTTAGAAAATATAGCTGATTTTATTTTTGTCAATTGTTTCAACTCAAGGGAAAATTTTTAATAAACTATATGCAGGGTGTCATAGAACATAGAAACTGATTATTAAATGCATATACAATGTATAAGCAAGGATAAATGTAAGAATTTATTGTGAAATGGATTCCACGGTGCTGGATTTTGTAGAAAAT